TTTTCATTAATAATGCTTATATCCCATCATGTTAGTGAAGATTCGAATCGAATCGAATTCTAGTTTTTCCCCCTACCGTCCAATAGGTATCGAATAAGTCTTGGCCATGTTTTTTGTATACATACACGTCTTATGTACGTTCAACGGATCGAATCAATGTCAAGCTTAGTTTATTCTCTTAATGTCATCCACTCGCACCATCCTCCCAACTGCTTCACTATAGCGATAGCAACAGAGCATTGTTGTAAACTACATCTATGTAAACCAATCCGCATATACATATGTACATATTTATTCAACGATAATTGTACTACACACACTCACACTCTCACAGACACACACACAGACACATATTTCTATATATATATATATACATCTATAACTGTTTTACTTTCTAATCTTAACTATTTACGTAGAGGCCACGTCGAGGCGGTATGCGTCGCCCCAGTCAGCGGGTTGCCAAGGCCCATCTATATATACAAACGTTTTGGCCACTCCCACTGTCACTCTTCACGGTCACGGTGACAGTGACCGTGATCGTGACTTAGCTGTGACCGCCATTCTAGTCTGTATATATAGATGTGCACTGTTTGTAAATTATATTATGCAACAACAGCTGATTAGTAAAATATTTTGGTCAAAGTTTTGAATCGGTTTATATTTTCGTTTTCTCGTTTGTGTTTGTGTTTTTGGTCCCTCAAATGTCTTCGAACACCGAACTAACAAACTTGTCCCCACTTCTTGACTGCTTAAACTTACTTTTACACATGAAAAAAAAAAAAAAGAAACAGAAAATATGAATAACAATTTGAATAATGAAACGTGTACAAATAACAACAAAAGAAACGAAATGAAAAAGAAAAGAAAAATGTACATACAGGATAATAATAAAATGGAATTTTTTCTTTTTGTTGCCTTTTTAATTCGTAATGAAAAATTGTCTTTATGTATATTATGGTATYCGTTATGCTTTTGTCTTTTCCATTGCAAAAACTAAAACCTCAACTAAACCAAAACTCGCCCAAATAGTTTAGTACAGTACAAAAACAATAAAAACAACAAAAACAATTTCAAATTTTGTTTAGAAATTTTCAACCCAAGGCCCAAATACTTGACACATTTTCAAAACTGTTTTGTAATTAGTATCAGCATCAAAAAAAAAAAAAAAAATACAAATGCACATGTTACGCTGTATTGGTGTGGTAGTCAACACACACACACACATACATGCAGACACGCACAATCACATACAGAAACAGACTACAATTTACTTAATATTTGATAACAGCAATTTCTCAATAGTTTTTTGATCAAATTTAACGAAAACAAAAACACAAAATTTCGATTCAAACAAAACATATGTATATTTGCATTTGCTGTATTTTGATTAAGGTACAAACAGTTTGAAACACATTTTATTTAGCATTTTGTTGGAAAGAATCTACGATTTTCCTTTACCATTATCATTATTATTATTATTATCATTATTGTTATTATTATTATCTCTCTCTCTCTATATATATACTATATCTGAGTAAACATACCTATTATGCAAATTTGATTGTAATTATTTTGTAATTAATAACTATATATACTATATATAGAAAAGGTAAATTTCAATTTCAACTTTTTACTAACCCATTCAAAATTCTTCAATTATATTTTAACGATTCGGTCATTACTAACCAGTCCAACTACTAATTTACTTAACTACCAATATGTATTATGTATGTACTTTTTATTATGTACTAGCTGCTAGTACCACCAACTAACTAGAACCTACAACAGCTGCTACTACTGCACCACTACTAGTATAACTATAAAACTACTATAAATACTACTACTACTACTATTACTACTACTATAACTACTACTGCTACTACAGTAATTACTATAACTACTACTAATACTACTACTATTACTACTACTAATACTACTATTACTACTACTACTACTACTACTACTACTACTACTACTACTACTCTTACTGTTAGCTGCTACTAAGAACTAACGAACTAATTTGAAAAAAAAAAAAAAACAAATAAAAACAAAAAGATGAAACTAGACCTGAGATTATATTCGAAGGGTTCCCCTAGGCAACTCGCCTCGAATATATCTGAACTCATCGGTTTCACAACGATACACCATCTCTCTAATCTGCTCTCCTTATTTTCTGTTTTTCTTCGTTTTTTTTCTCTCTCTCTCTTTCTCTCTCTCTCTCGCCCTTTGACCAATAATATTTTACAGTCGAACTCAATCAACGTTGGCTTCCTGCGTTTGTTTCGTGCGGCGCGTCTTATCAAATTGCTTCGACAAGGATATACAATACGAATTCTCCTGTGGACCTTTGTACAATCATTTAAAGCACTTCCATATGTTTGTTTGCTTATTGCAATGCTATTTTTTATATACGCCATTATTGGCATGCAGGTAAGTCTGTGTTCCCCAGCCTCGGAAGCTCAGTTTGTCTTTTGAGTGTTACGAGAAACTAAGCTAAAGAAAAGAAAACACAAAAAAAAATATGTGAATCGCGATTGAAACACGAATGTATAACACATTAGAACAGTTGTTGCTCATGATCAGATTTCGGGTGATATAGCCAACATAAGACGTGGTGGGAGCTCTTTGAACAAACCTAAAGTTAGGGAACATATATTTTTGGTATCATTTGATCATCGTTTCGAACACACACACACACACACACAAATACAATAATTTCTCTTTCTTTTCTCTCTGTTTTGTATTGTTTCATTCTCACCACAATCTAGTCTGTAAGCATCATACAACACCTAGCAGTTAGTCTGACATATTACAAACAAAACTAACTAATTTTTAGATACGCACAATAGGGCGTACACCCGATCTGAATTCAATGTTAGCATAGGCGAAGCTGAAAGTTTTCTTTTATTTAGCTAAAGGTCTAACTGTAGTGACTAGTGTTTTTATTATGTTTGATTTTAAATAGGTACATTTTGGGTGTAGAGGGTGTAGACCACGCCGATTTCAAAGAGCGCGTTCGATATATAAATAAACATATATATACATACATATGAATTTGTAGATATTTGTATGTATATATATATATATATGCCATTCTATATAGATGTCAATTTAGGAATCTAGTTATACAACATGTAATGAATAATCTAAATCAATTATAATATCTCACAAACTGAAAGGTATTCGGCAACATAAAATATGATCCGGACACCCAACTGAATCGTCACAATAACTTCCAATCGTTCTCTGGAGGAATCATGCTGCTCTTTCGGTAAACGAAGAATACGGTTGTACCCTAGTGTAACTCTTAGTGTCTATTAACGATACGGCACAACCAACAGACAAAGCGCATATTCGTACATAAGTTGATTCATTCATGTATTAGCGACTGTAACTGTAATCGAATTCAAATTGAGAGGACATTCTCGTACCCCAATTACCAAATATATATCTATATCCATATATACATATATATATTTACTATTATATATACGTTACATAAACTAACAGTCAATAACAGTTGATCTCACATTGAGCAAGTCACAAAGGGAACGCAACGAATGATTATGATTCGAATATAAATTGCATTTCTCATCCGCTCAATCTGGCGTGTCCTTTGTGACTTGGGATGGCTTTGAAAGCATTTTGTATGTAGTTAACTCACATTCACAAGCATAACTAAGTAATTTGTAAACTCGTTTGATTCGTTCGACGACACAATGCGCTCATTCATCATTAGCTTTAACTGTATGCAAATGTTGGAGTTGAAAATTGAAATTGAAATTGAATTTGGATTTGAAATTGAAATTGAAATTGTAACTAGCTACAGTTGTAGTTCGAGCTCGCGGTAGTTAATATAGCTAACTAGTATAGCATAGTATCTTGTACATCTTCATTTGTTATAACATTATCGTTGCAGCAAGTTTTGCTCACTGGCATTCTCGTTTGGCATTTGAGCAGAATACAAATGTATAATACACTTAAAAAAATCAATATACACATAAGTTGTAAGAAACATTTGACGGTTTGCGGTTAACGGCTTGCAATTTGCTATAAATCTAGTGGCTTGATTGATTTGCAAATTAATAATGTTGCGTTAGAGTTCGATTAAAGCAAACTTCTTCCTCTATTTAAATACCTTTCCATTTCTTAATCCATTTAATACCTCGTAATTTATAGCAAATCTCATTCAAGTTTGGTACGAATCAGGAGGCACTTTATAATTATCTGTTCTGATTTGATTTCATTTGGTTTGGTTTGATTTACCCTCTGCAACACATCTATATACCCATATAAGCATTTATATTCGTATTATTTGCATTAGGTATCCCTGAATATGTATCCATATCTCTGATAAGCAAACCCCCATATTATATTCACCTATTCCGTGTAAAGCAAGAGAAGCGTAAACCAAAGTGAAGTAAAGTAGGTGGCTATATGAGCAATGTGTTTCAGCAACTGTGGGTCAAATGTCTTTAAGAGCAGAAGAGGAGAATTGTTCAAGGGCGAAAATGTGTTACGTGTTGAAGGAAATTTTCACATTTTATAGCAACAAATACAAATGCAAATAATTAATATTACTTACCGATATTTAAATCGTGCATAGGTATTCGGAAATATCAAACTAGGTACAGTGGAAAATTCTATTACTAGGCACAACAACTTCCAGTCATTTGAACAAGGCGTCATGTTGCTCTTCAGGTATGTAAATCATAAAAACTCCTCCGACTAATCGCCTAGACTTAATACAAAACTAAACTGTTTCTTAAGCAAATTTTCGATTTTCCATAGTTAAGACAAATAATAAGTACCTGCATATATATACCGATGTATATCTACATATATATATATATGTATATTACTTCTACTCACTTTTAATGGGAATTTTTGCACTTGTAAAATTTCTTGCAGCTGTCTGTGCATTTTG